GTTTATAAAAAATAAATAAAAATTAAATATTTTAAAAACGTTAGAAAAAAAATATTTTCAATTTCGGTTTCGGCCTGACATTTTTTCATTTCGGTTTTTAAATTTTCATTTCATTGCACATCTAGTTTTAAGTCTTCCCTACTCATTCTGAAACTACCAAACAAGTTTTGGTTTTACATATACTTTAATATATGCCTGTATCAGCTTTTATACTAATTAGTGTAGTTTTACCAGTTTTATTAAATGACAGTGACATGGAATGGACAATACTATCCCAAAAAAGGGGTGCTAACTGTAAAACATGCCACAATCTACCTGCCTTTTTTGCTGATATACAAAGATGTAAGGGGCTTAGGGCTGGTTTACACTTAAGCATTTTGCTAAATGCACGATACCATTAATTTACTGCATACTATTGCACAGTGTGGTTAGGGTGTGGTACCATGCGCTAGGTGCATTGTGTTGGCATTTATTTGAATGGCACCCCAATGCACCTCCCAGCTGTAGTGTATTTGCAGCACAACGTGTTGTACCGCAATACCATGCATGGCATTTCAGTGTGGTGGGAAGAAGCATGCACTACTTTTTTCAACACACTGTGCATTTAGTGCAAAGCTTAGGTGTTAACTGGCCCTTACATGCTGTCACAGACAGAGGTCTGTATACACACAGAAAGTAGAACAGTTTAGGTGATTGATGGAGCATTCCTGAGACTGCATGGAAACACAGTTAGTGCAGACTTAGATCCTTGGATGACACAGGATGCTTAGGGTACACTGGAGTCACAGGGATATGGGATTACACAGGATGACACTGAAGTTACAGGGGTCATAGGATAATACAGGATACTCAGGATGCACTGAAGACATTGAGGCATCTGGAGGCACACAGAGGCGTGCTCTGAAGACACAGAGGCATGCGGGAGACACTGGAGCATAGTTTGAGTACACAGAGGAAGCATGTGAATTGGATAGAACACTGTAATACTAGCGACACAGAGAAACTAAGGGTTCAGGTAATTCTCTGGAAGCACAAGGGGGCTTGACTTAGGTGTAGTGATGAGTTTCTTGAATGCTGAACAATACTTGACCTGCCCTTTAGGCAGCACCTATTTGCTGACTGGCCATGATACTGGCACTCCAGAAGTAATACAGAAGTGTTAGTGGCCTTGTGCTGGAGAAGAGATGCGGTGCAGGATCGAGGAGGAGATGAGTGTGACACCTTACACATTCTTATTTTATATTTTCTCGACATTGAACTTTCTGGAGTTTACCCCTAAAAAGAGCATCTGGAATGCATGTATTTTTAAGAAAGACATGGTATGCACACTTTACAGAGCCATAGTCTGTATAACATTAGAAACTGGATTTGAACCTAGAAATCTTACTCAAAACTTGCCTTGCAAAGCCATAGACTGCTTTCAGAACCACAGAGCAAGTTTGCTTAAAAAGCAGAAATCACTATACAAACACTAGTAAAACCACATAATAATAAGGTAGGTATATTATCTATGACAACACATGTAATCCGTATTGTAATCAAATTACACTATAATCTTACGTTAGTACTAGTCCCTTAATGCTTCTTCTGATCGGTCATTCACTCGGCTGCCCTCGGCAGCTTTGTGAATAGACCCCATAGTGTATGAAGATTTCCAACAGCTGCTATGAAAGAAGTTGGCAGACTTCCCTTTCGAATGGCTAAAATAGTTTTTAAAGAGATTTTCATAAAAACACTAAGTAATAAATGTAGTGTGAAATAAAGATTTTACACAAATTACGAGAAAATCTAAAATGTCAGTTTCTAAACTTGTGAACTGTCACAAAATAGAATAAACTTTTACTAAAAATATTACATATTATTTTTAGGGAAATGCATAAGTAAGACTGGCTTACGTAAAGAAGCAATTACTTGCAAATTTGAAAATGTTGCAAATTGGAAACACTAAAGAAGCTTCATACAGCTAATCAATGCATGTGTTACTCCAATGCAGGAGTGAGAATGGCAGTGTGTTATCCAGGGACAAAACCAAATAGTGGATACCTAATTGAACTACTGTGGAACAAACAAGTCCTTGCTATCTTACATTTTCAGAGGACATGCATTATTGCTAATTGAAGACTATTGTTAAGAACTTCTCAAAATAACAGATAAAACATGTCTCACAATAACCATCCCTCACCAACTTGTAGCCTATGTTTGCAAGGTAACATACAACAAGGCTGATAACTACAAACAAGATACAAATTTGGGCAATCCAGCCAGTTCACCATAGCCCTAAATACCCTAAATCAAATAGAGACACTGAGAGAATGATCCCTTCTGTAAAATAATTTTCTAGAAGGCATTCAGATCAGGCGTCAAACAAAATCTAGAGCCTCTTAAACGATGGAATATACCTATCTGTAATATAAATATAAAACAAGCACAAAAGTTAAAACTGCTCTGCTGCTCATGGGAATAGTGTTGAGAAATACTCTGAAACAACAGAGATTCTTTGAGATAAAATAACTGACAAAATATTGGTTAAGCTACAAGAAAAGGACAAACTACAATTGTAGGGTCAAATATCCATTGATTTTCTGTCCAGGAGTAAGTAAGAATGCCAAGAGAAAATAGAGAGCAACCAGAAGTAGTCATATATCTCAAGTCAGAGACAGGTTCATATACTCCAGTAGAAGCATGTTTTAGAAGAATTAAGTACCATCTGAGACCTGGCAGAAAAAGGAAACTTTAAGATTTTCATCCATTCTGAATTTAGTAGAAAGATATCCAGTTGACCAGCCACTCTTAGTAGTTTAACAGTAAGATCCAACACTTAAGTATTTGCAGCTAGTTAGATATGATTTATAGTTATCATTATGCGCTTATAACTTTGTTTTTGTAATTAAGTGTGCTCTATCGTGTTTCCGTTTTAAAATTCAAGCAACATTTAATCATGTATATACAGTATACTGTATATATTTTTCAAGATGCATATACTGATACTTCCAGGTATTCCAGCCAGCATCTGCCTCGGTGTATGCTGTGGAACCACAGCTTTGCCCAGCTGAAGAAGCACAATTCCACCAAAAAAAAGAAAGTTTATTAGGTTCAATAAGCATGTTTGGCGAACCCGCCGGGTCGGAGCTCCTGTCCCGCAGCAGCCTACGTGGAGGCTCAGTGGCGGGGACCGCGGCACGCAAGGTCGGGGACGGCAGCAGCGGAGTTATTTGGAGGCCGCACGGCTGGAACTCACCGGAGTCGTCTCGGCCCGGTGAGAGGAATGTCTCCATACGTGCCTGCTTTGTGGTTCGGGGTATGCCTGTTCTCTTCTTCTTCTTAGACATGGGGTCAGGAACTGTCCTGGGTAGTGATCAGCTGAATCTGTCCCCCTTCACCTTACAGAGCTCAGCAGAAGGAGTTCAACTCAGCCGATCCAACATCTGGATCGGCTGAGCCGAACCTCCGGCAGCCTATTTGTGCTGTTCAGCCTATTCTCATAGATGCCGAACAGCAGTGAGTGAATAGCCGAATGTGGCCGAGCGGCATTCACACCTATTCTGCTCGGTACCTCTGTGGTACCGAGCAGAATAGAAAAACAGTTAAAAAAGTAGAAAAAATAAAATAGAAAACGATTGGGCGGAGCTAGCAGTGACAGCTAGCTCCGCCCAACTGTTTCCTATTGGCCGGGCGGTTCTGCTGCCGTCAGAATAAAAAATAAGAAAAAAACACCATAGGAATGCATAGCTAGATTCCTATTGGCTATTTCACTTTGCAGTAGCCAATAGCAAACTAGCTATTGCACACGCCCTCTGCTGCTGTCAATCACTAGAAGGGGACCTGATGGAGAACTTCAGGTCCCCTCTGCTGATTGACAGCAGCAGTGGGCGGGTGAAATAGCTACTTTGCTATTGGCTATTGCAAATTGAAATAGCCAATAGGAATGTAGCTATGCATTCCTATGCTGTTTTTTTTTGTTTTTTTTTATACTGACGGCAGCCAACGGCTCTGATGTCAGAAGAAGAAAAAAAAGACAACAGAGCAGAGAAAGGTGAGAGAGAAAGTGTTTATCTCCCGGGCGGCCGGGAGCCGCTATCTAATAGCGGGAGACTCCCGGAGCGTCCGGGAGAGTTGGTCTGTCTGGAGATCAGCGTCCCTGGTTACCCGGTAACCAGGGACGCTGATCTGTCTGTGCAAGTGGCCGGAGCCAGCCGTGGCTGGCTCCGCCCAGCAGTCAGTAGCAGGCTGTTCGGCTAGCTTCAGCTTTCACCTTGGCTCAGTCGAGCCGAAGCATATGCCTTTGGTTCGACTGAGCCCCTCGGCCAACTTCGGGAGCTGTACGGGCTATAGTGAATAGGCTGTACAGCAGCCCTTCGGTTCTACTGAACCGAAGGGGTCCTGGGGTCGAAGCTAGCTGAAGGATCAGAGCAGAGCAAGGAAAGGTTTACTCCCAGAGCGTCCGGGAGAGTAATGACACATCAACGTCCCTGGTTACCTGGAAACCAGGGACGCTAATCTGTCTCTGCAAGTCGCCGGAGCCAGCCGTGAGATGATGGCTGGCTCTGCCCAGATGTCAGTAGCAGGCTGTCGGCCGAAGCATATTTGGCTCGACTGAGCCGCTCGGCCAACTTTGGGAGCTGTACGGGCTATAGTGAACCGATGGGGTCCTGGGGCCGAAGCTAGCCGAAGGATCAGCCGAAGCTATGGCTAGATCCTTTGGCAGCTTTGTAAATAGACCCCTAAATCTTCTTAATTCTGTTCACTCAGCTCAGATAATAAACAACTGACCATCAAATACCGGTGTTGTGCGTATACATTATATAAGTGTATATATAAATGTATACAGTAAGTGGTCTATACGGTCCACAATGATTGCAATATTTCATTCCAGTATTTTGCTCTGTTCCTGGTACTTTCCTGCTGAATCATGACCATTGAGTGGCAGCTTTGGAAAACATATAACATAATATTTTTGTCTCCTTTCGTCTTAGGCTTCCAAGATGCTAATTGTAATGATTATACTGGGAGGAAAAAAAAGAGTATAAATTCCTTTTTTCCAGATTGGCACATTCCCTGTCATGTACAAAAAGCTGATGGTGTTCTGCCATTATTAGTTAAATCAATTCTATCTTCTTTGTATTCTTATTTTTCTTCAGTAAAGCTGCTGTGATGGTGAAAAGATAAAAGGCAAAAGATAAAAACAAAAGAAAAATATTCTATTTCTTCATAGTCAGCTTCCCTTGTAAAGTGTTAACTTCTTGCATGTTCTATGACCAAATAAAACGTTTACCCCAGAGGCATACTAAAACTGGTGTAAAGTCTGTGTAAAACCTCTATAGGTAAAATGTGTCCATTGTTTTATAAACACATGCATAAAAAGCCCAGTTAAAGCCATTGATGTAGAAAACAAACAAACCACAATTCAATCACGATTATCATGTTTACAAACCAGACTGTTGCGGCTAATCATATAGCACAAGGCTTAAAATTTCAAGTCTAGACCTACTAGCCAGGCAAAAACCTTACTCTCCACCAGTTGTCCCACCAAACCTTGCCCAGGTCCGCCTCCAACTGCACCCCAGGCCCGTCCCCCATCCCCGCCCAAACCCCGACCACACCCCAGCCACACCCCCTTAAAGCTTATGAAATTCAATTTTTCTTTAGAATCAAAAGAGTCCAAAATATAAAAAACAGCAATTATAACATAGCTTTAGCTTTATATTATGTTAACAGGGTGCAGATACGATACCACAGTCAAAACTGGGGGGGCACTGATCATTTTCCCCACTACCATATGAGGATGTGTGTATGGGCAGCGTGCGACCGCTTCTACTGTAAGGTCGTATGACTTTTGTCTTCCAAGCACGCTGGAAAACCTGCCGAAAATCGTACGATTTTTGGCGGGTTGGTGGCGTGGTTAGAAAACGAATGCCGCATGGGCCGTTTATTAACCCCCCCACACAAAGAATAATACCCCCCCACCCTTATTAACCCCCTACACAAAATTATAATACACTCAACCCCTTCCCCCAAGCCTCCTCACCTGTTCATGTCTTTGCAGGGAGGAGGCTGTGAGCAGGATCGATCCCTGGTTTATCTGTGAGTGATTAGTGAGGTCTGCAGTAGCCCTCACTATCACACCCAGATAGCCAGGCATCGATGCTGCTCACAGACATTCTTTCCTCCGGCTCAGAACTGTCAGAGCTCCGGCCGAAGGAAGCCAGAACTGACAGGAGCTGCTCTGCTCTCAAATTTTCACTCGCCCTCACCATATTTTTACTCGCAAAATGCGAGCAGGCGAGTGGAAATTTTAAGCCCTGATATAGCAGATTCAAAAACATTTTCCTTATTTCTATTTCCTTTTCTCAATGTTCAGAATGAGAAAAGGCCGAATAAGGTAATATGACATATACAAAACAATACCATATTTTATTTAAACTACTGCAGAACATAAATTAGATCTCCCCAGCCGGCCGTACCTTGGAAAGAATGAGAACATCCATTATAACAAAGATTGTAGATAACTTTTTCACATAGACCCTTAAGCCACTGCTATGCATTTTTAAATTTAAAAATGCTTTTTACATAATTTGCTCTTGATTCTCAACAAATTCCAAACATCTGCACAACACTAGGTTCACAAAATGCAACATTTCACACTATTGTAATTACTCATAAACCACGTGAATTTAAAATTCCCTATTTCTATAGATTTATTTAAATTGGTACAAAAATGATTCACAATTTATTAAGATGACACAATAAAATGAATTATAATACCCTAAAGCTGATGTCCAAGCTAACTACAAGGTCTGTTTGTATTCTCACTTAAATCTTGGTGCACTTTGTGTATTTCTTCCAGATTTGTGCAGTATTCTAGAACAGCCTTTCTCAACCAGGGTGCTGTGGCATACTGATGTGCCTCCTGGCTTCTTCAGGAGTGCCTCAAAACTATGTGGTAGTGGGACTGTGATCTGAAGGGGGAAGCTCAGTGCAGCTCAGTGATGCTGTCACAGATTCTTTTACAAAGTATCTGGGTTTGCAAAGCCATTTTGGGTTTGCAAAGCCATATAGTTAAACGTTTTGTGCCAGGAAAGCAGCAGTAATAAGATAATACTGTATGTGAAAAAAAAATTGGGTTTTCTCACCCACTTTTTTTTATTACCCTATGATGGCTGGTGCAGAACCGTCAGGTTTAGTGTCATCCAAGGTGAATCCAATCGGTGTTTCTTCTTCTTCAATCAATATACATCCAGAGAACCCTACATAAGTTAAATAAGTAGTATATGTTATTAGTAGCTGAGCACATACAAAAGTATGATAATAAGTAAAGTAACGTGGGTGCAGTACTAAAACTTCTAAAGAGTCAGCAGAACTGAATGGGATGCGGTGTAGGTGCTATAGAGAAGACTATACTATGCTTTGCACCCTTTTCCCCTTTGAAAGCTCTTGATAAGTAGATTACAGTGTGTAATCATTGTCCTTTGTACAAATGAAATAAATCTAATGCTTAACCCAATGATACAATAAGATTGGGGTTCTTACTAGGCATGTTGGGATTACTAGCATTTACTTCACCAAGACAGAGAGCTTTCAGAACATTCTCCTCTCTCAGGCAGACAAAGATAAGCCAGCCATCTATTATACACATTGCTGTATCTTTAAATAAGGGTAAGTCTAAACTAACATTTACTCAAAGTTTTTGTGAAAGTAACATCAGCTGATTTGAACCATTTGATACATATAGATACATATATTGATACATATAGTGGAACAACAACAAATGTGATGGGGGGATATAGTGTCAACTACTGTTACTTTATGACTATACTGCAAAGTGAAGCCAAGTGACAGAGAGTGAGATAAGACCTATCCCACTGTAGACAGCAGTATCATTCTTCTAAATGAATAATTAATGCCTGAAAGAGCCTGATATTTTCTACCATGAAAACTTATTGTTTGACTCTTATCAACAAATGGAACACAACACCTGTGACTTTTCTGCTGTATTGATTTTTATGCAGGTAATGTATAGTGATCTAGTGGTTAGCACTGTGCAGAGGTCAGGTTCAGGGTTCCCGTTTCACCAAGCACACAATTACATTTATTTATTTAGTTTTCACTTAATTTGTGTGTGTTTCTTCTTGCTCATGCACACATTAATCCATATGGTTTTACCTTCAATTAGTCTTCATGTGTATTTATGATTGTGGTAGGAACATCAGACAAAGCTTCTTTGGGAGCAAAGCATGAACATTTTAGCTTTCTTGGTATAGACAAATGATTGTGGAATATCTTGGTGCTAGATTTATTTCTTGTAGCTCTCTTTTATTTTAATATGAAAACCAGTGCTGTTTGATGTTCACCTACAGATGACAACATTTAGGCAGAGGGAAGGGTGTAAGCTGTTTTTCTTAATCTGTTATGGCTGAGGTTAAGGGAACTTTTGAAACAAAAAGTAAGAAAAGCTATTTCCTAAGGTCTCTAAATTATGAACAGTTCTCTTCAACTGCTTTAGTTAGTTTAAAGGACTCCTGTCATGACAGAAACACGGAGGCTGCCAATGTTGATCATTCCTTCTGAAATTGCTACTGTAGTTGCCCATCTGTCATGCTCTTGTTTCAATACTTTGAGCCAGTGACCCAGAACAAGAATGCAGATAACAGTTTTTTTCAGCCTTCCCATTATATTTCATACTTGTTCTATGTCAGTTACACTTCAGTTTCAGCCACTGGATACATATATTTTGCAGTTAAGGGATCTGTAAATATTTGTCTTCAGTATGCTGCTGACATGTAATACAAAGGTGTTAGATGTACCACCATCAAATGACTATGACTGTAACTAAATTGGAACTGTTGACAGATGGAGAACGAAAACCAGCAAATTTAATAAAATATGATGATCGGTGATACAAGTCAGACATTGTTTTTAAAAAATGCATTTGATATCACCAAAAAAAGTATTTTATATTGTTAGAACAATGAAAATGTTGCATTGTTATATACTTAATTTCCTTAGAAGTATTATGAAAATAAAGCAATGAATGCACGAATATGAATATTATATATTTTAACTTCCTTAATAATAATTTGCTTCTTAAATCACTTACCCATTTTCCTCCAGAAGGCTTCCTTATAATAAACCATACATTTGATAACGGATCCCATTGGAAGACGATGTATTAACTGGTTTCTGACTGGTGGCAGCTCTGGAGTGAAATGGATCTTTGTACTCAACACTGGTGGTATAGCGCTAATGACAAATTTACTCTGAATGTGAGAAAAGTAGATGTGTTAATTTAAAAACAATGACAAAAATAAGATAATTTACATCTCTCTCCAAATCCATTGCCTATTTTGCCATGTTATTGATGACCTGGTTACAACTCTGTTTGTCCTGATTTCTGGAATACCAAAAATGTACATTGTATTCACATTTTAGGTTTACTATTTGGTTCTTATTTGTATACACATGTATATATCAACTTTTAGACTGCATTTTTTTTATTCCACAGGGGTAATCAAAGTAGTATTAATGTTTATTTTTTTTAATAATGAATCCAGATTCCAAAATTCATTGCCCAAACACTTACAATCATCATGTTTCTGAAGAGCTGCATCCATGTCTCTCAGCTCAGCTTCTCTAAATGTCCTGTCTTGTACAAGATCAGAAGGGACAGAGCAGACTCCAGCAACTGTTCATCTACTAGCTTGGAGAAGGGAGGAGAGGGGGCCATGGGGGAGGGAAGTAGCTTGATTTACAGTGTCTGTGTTTGTGGAGACACACACAGCTTACTAACACACACAATAATCCCTGCATAGCACTCTGCTTTCATCAGCATTTGAAATAGCTCAAAAACCTTTTGACTTTAATATCACTTTAAGATTAATAAAGAATATTTTTTTGCACTTAACATGCAACATTGTAGATTTTTGTTTAGAGCAGAGAAAGGTAGACGGGTAGAGACAAAACAATGTTTTCAAAACCACTTCAAATATATGTATCTAAACGTTACCTGATATATTTCATGGTTTAAGGTTTCCACGATGACATTTTCTCCAGACTGATCAAGTCTAATCACTGGTCTCTCCAGCTTCACTCGATCCTGAAGGCGATCCATTATCCTCTCGCTTATCTGTCCAGAGCCTCCAACAAACTTTCTCTCCTTGAGGTAAACCAAAAGGATATGTAACATTCAGTTTAAAGAGGAAAAATATTTGAAACTGGATTGTAGTTTCCCCATAAGGTATGGAAATGAAGCCAGATTGGATAATAAAGCAAGGTACTAATTGTCTTACTGTTTATTTTTCCCCTCAATTTCAGCAGAAAACTCCTGGCATGAGCGTGCAGCTAAATATTGTGTAACGGCAGTGGTCTCTGAACTGTGATTGAACATGCCCCTTTCATTGCAGTTTTGACAAGCAGAAGGTGTGGCTGCTGTACAGAGATCACTTTAAGACAACTCTGTTAATGGTAAGATAATTATTACTTTACGTTTTCATCCAACCTGGCTTCTTTTCTATGTTTTATGGGAAAACTACAACTGGGCTTTAACAAGATGAGCTCCAGCCTGTATTTACCCCTTCATTATTAGGCCATTTTTCAGTTTTCAGTGCTGTGATAGATGGACTGACAATGGCTCCATCATGAAACACTGTACCCAAATTAATTTTTTAGATAGATAGAGATTTTTTTTGGTGGTATTTATTTACCACTGGGATTTTCCATTTTTTCTACAGAAAGGAAAAGTGACTGTAAATTTTGAAGAAAAAAAAAACCGGTTTCCCCTTACTTTCTGTTAATATAAAGAGATGACTCCTTTTGGGAAAAAAGAAACATGTTGGTATTGAGGGGGTTAAACATGGAGCTTGACAATGGTGAACAAGATACAGCACATCTGATCACCAACAGAGGGATCTGGAGGTGGAATGGTTAATGTACAGGTCACATACAGTAGAAGGATGGAGATAATGGGGTTATAGATGTGCAAAATAAGTTAGATAACGGGTTAATAGGTCACATACAGAGGCAGGTTGAATATAAGTAGTTTAAGATAGGAGGAACACTGAACGGGTTAAAAAGAAAACTCAGTCAGTGAGAATAAATGTATGAATTAGCAGCTGTTGATGACTGATTTATTCATTCTCCCATTCACAAATTACTACAATTCCCCTCCTTACTCTCCTGTAAGAAGAAGAGAAGGAATCTTTACTGTAGACATTACTATGTGACCACTCTGATTAGTCATCACCTGATCAGAAGGTACTAAGCCTCTTGGATGAGCTCGGTATACAGAGATTAGCAGGTGCAGCAGACACCCAACAACTAGTTCTGGAATTACATTTTAAAACCTCATTCCAGAAATAGATATCCCCACCTCACTACCAATACACTACAGGGGCAGTTAGGCACAGCTCTTGTAAAAAGTGCTTTAAAAGGACTAATTATGGGAAACATGACTCCCCAGCCCCCTTCTATAGAAGGGGGGCTAAGTAAGATTTTTATAGGATTTTCAGCAAATAGAAAAGTAAGCAACAATTTTCAAATATTTTGTGTTATGCTATGTGAATGTAACAAATACAAAAAGAGGTGTTCATTTGGTTTAGCTGCAAAAGAAAAAATCCACTTTAAATAATGTTTTTATCTTATACATAAATTATATTTTGACTGTCAAGTTGCTGTTAGTCAAAAAAGGTCTGCTCGCACCATTTTGTTTGTGTGTACTTCTTCTTAGATGTACTTTAAATTATTTTTCAAAAGTAAGTTTAAAGGTTTTAGCTATAGATTAATGAAATGTGCAAAACGTTTGTGATCGTGTTTTTATTTATTTTTTTTAGAAATATGCCATCTTAGTCTTGGCTTATTTACTAATGTTTGTATCCAATTTTTTTAAGTTCAATAATACTAAGCCAATATATTGCCCTGGGTTTGACCATTTCATGTGTCTTTGGTTATATTCTCCTCCAAAAAGGAGTGTTTCAGTTACAAGTGCCCATTCATGGAAATTGAGGGTGTGGAGGTGCTGCTTGAAGGCAAATATGGCACAGAGAAAACCAATATCGGTAGGCCAAGGTTTTATATTCTGTTTATTTGGGATTTGGAGAATGCTTGTGTGAGGCTGTGATATTCTTCTATAAAGACATTGGAACATCACTTGATTATGGCAAAAAATGCTGGATTAGGAGACAATTATCCAAAGTTTGTGGGCACTTTTATTTGTGTTGCAGGGTTCATAGGTGCTGGATTTACCATCATATTTTAAATAGGTAGCAGCAAAACCTACCTGCCCGCCATTTTCTGTTGAGAAAATCCTTGTTGTTCCACCACAGATCTTCACATACCATAGAAACCAAAGTGTAGAAACTTGCTGAGTCTCAGCTGTCACAACCAAATTCACAAAGAGCTCTGCAAACCTTCTGGCTGCACTGATGGAATAAATATACAAACTTATCCATAAGATAAAGTGTATGCTTGCTCAAATACTTTATACACAAGAGGAGTATGCTTTAATAAGTAGTGCTGTATATAGTTTTATTTATTTAGTTTGCGGTAAGAGTTTTATTGCTTCTTTGTTTGTGGCACTGCTTGGAGACAGGGACAATAAAGGTAAAGGCTGTTATGAATAGGCTATAGAGGTAGGAAGCTAGGTCCCATTCAGAGGTGGTAGCGGGAAATATAGGGTAATTCTTAAAGATAAACTCCAAGCATATTACAAATAATTGTGATATTAAACCTTCCTTTTTTTTCTTGTTATGGTTAGAAGGGTCATACTTTCATGAAAATTCTACCATTCTTTAAATCTATTTCTTTCCTCACTCTATAGCTGGTCCTCAAACTGCTCTCCCCACCCGCCTGTTGCGGGTGTCTCCATCAGCAAGCTGGCTGCTGTTCACTCCCGGCTGTGGCCGTCTGTCCATAGACACACACAGCCTGTGGCAAGTGACGCCCCTCCGCTCCTCCCACCAGACTGACTGATGGCAGAAGGAGCCAATCACTCCACTGCCCTCAGTACCCCCCCCCCCTACAACCAGGAAGTTCAGAATGGAGGATATCTTCAGGAACCCCTCAAGGTGACAGGTGAGCACAGGTAAGTGTGTGGGGTGTTCGGGGAGTTAACCTATCGGTACTGGCAATTTTTTTATCTTAATGCAGAGAATGCATTAAGGTAAAAACGCTCTGCCTGTAGTACTACTTTAACCCATGCAGTGGCCTGCCCCCACACTGCAAGGGTTAAGTGCTCAATTTGGTCTAGGAACCAAAATAAAAAGATATACTCGTCCTATCCTCAGTCCTGCTCTCTTTCTCTCCATTCCAGCTGTGGAATGTCCCTAGGGGTCCTCACATAATAACATCACAGATCTTTAGACTGCCGGAGCACTGGGGAGAACAGGCTGCTGGGATCGGTCTAGCAGTCAGGCAGGACTGATGATCGGATGAGTATATCTCACCTGATGCTTTATTTTAATTATTTAAACCCTAGACCAAATTTTAAACCATAGACCAAAAAAAAGCAGTTAACTTTTAGAGTGCGGGGTTGGCCCCACTGCAAGGGTTAATGTTTAATATGCCCAGAGTTCTTCTTTAACTGTTAGGCTATAATAAATCTGCCCAATTCACTGATATTGTACATTTTGTACAATGTTTCACTGATATTGTACATGTTGCATTACTGGCAGTACCAATACACAGGCAGGGCCCCTATCAGCCATGGGAATGACTGCTTCAGTGTGATGGGAAAATTAGTTAAGTGGGGGACTGCCATTTGATCAGACTCTCTATTTTTAGATTAGATAGATAGATAGATAGATAGATAGATAGATAGATAGATAGATAGATAGATAGATAGATAGACTATATTGCCAAAAGTATTGGGACGCCTGCTTTTACATGCACATGAACTTTAATGGCATCCCAGTCTTAGTCTGTAGGGTTCAATATTGATTTGGCCCACCCTTTGCCGCTATAACAGCTTCAACCTTTCCGGGAAAGTGTCCACAAGGTTTAGGAGTGTGTCTATGGGAATGTTTGACCATTCTTCCAGAAGCGCATTTGTGAGGTCAGGTAATGCTGTTGGACGAGAAGGCCTGGCTCGCAGTCTCCGCTCTAATTCATCCCAAAGGTGTTCTATCGGGGTGAGGTCAGGGCTCTGTGCAGGCCAGTCAAGTTCCTCCACCCCAAACTCACTCATCCATGTCTTTATGGACCTTGCTTTGTGCACTGGTGCGCAGTCATGTTGGAACAGGAAGGGGCCATCCCTAAACTGTTCCCACAAAGTTGGGAGCATGAAATTGTCCAAAATGTCTTGGTATGCTGATGCCTTAAGAGTTCCCTTCACAGGAACTAAGGAGCCAAACCCAGCCCCTGAAAAACAATCCCCACACCATAATCCCCCCTCCACCAAACTTTACACTTGGCACAATGCAGTCAGGCTAGTACCACTCTCCTGGCAATCGCCAAACCCAGACACGTCCTTCGGATTGCCAGACAGAGAAGCGTGATTCGTCACTCCAGAGAACGCGTCTCCACTTCTCTAGAGTCCAGTGGCAGCGTGCTTTACACGTGCTTCACTGCATCCGACGCTTTGCATTGCACTTGGTGATGTAAGGCTTGGATGCAGCTGCTCAGCCATGGAAACCCATTCCACGATGCTCTCTATGCACTGTTGTTGTGCTATGCCAATCAGAAGGACACACGAAGTTTAGAGGTCTGTAGCTATTGACTCTGCAGACAGTTGGCGACTTCTGCACACTAAGCACTTCAGCATGTGCTGACCCCGCTCTGTAATTTTATGCGGCATACCACTTCGTGGCTGAGTTGCTGTTGTTCCCAGTTGCTTCCACTTTGTTATAATACCACTAACAGTTGACCGTGGAATATTTAGTAGCAAGGAAATTTCACGGATGGACTTATTGCACAGGTGGCAACCTATCACGGTATCACGCTTGAATTCACTGAGCTCCTGAGAGCGACCCATTCTTTTACAAAGGTTTGTAGAAGCGTCTGCATGCCTAGGTGCTTGATTTTATACACATGTGGCCATGGAGGTGATTGGAACAACTGAATCCAATGATTTGGAGTGGTGTCCCTATACTTTTGGCAATATAGTGTAGATAGATAGACACTATATTTTTAGGTAGATAGATAGATAGATAGATAGATAGATAGATAGATAGATAGATGTAGTATATATATTGCCAAGATCATGAATGTGAGCAATGTGCTGTCTCCCAAGTGCTTGTAATAGATATATTGTTAATCTAGGATTTCCAAGTTAGGAGGTTAAACAATACTTCTAGTACCACATGGTACAACACAACTGCAATAGAAGCTTACAGAATTAAATAATTGAGTGAGAAGTTTGTGCAGAAAGGAAAGGTTTTGGTTTTGAAGAAGTGTGTTGATTTATAGTCAGCTGCAGGATTTGTGCCAGAGACAGGTTACATCTTAAAACAGATATCACATTTCCACTGCGGGGGAAGACTGGTTATAGGGTTGGAGGAGGTTTCAAAGCAGTATTTCTTAAGCAAGGGAAGGATAGAAATGTTAAAAAAATGCAGTAGCTAGGCATAGAGAGATGTCAGGAATGGGGTATCTATTTATTATTGGGATTTATATAGCGCTGACAATTTAAGCAGCACTTTACACAGTGCACATTCACATCAGTGCCTGCTCTCAAGGAGCTTACAATCTAAGGTCCCTATCTCACATGCATAAACATGGGGGCCAATTTACCTACCAGCAGGTCTTTGGTGTGTGAGAGGATACTGGAATACCCAGAGGAAACCCACGCAAGCACAGGAAGAACATGGAAACTCTTTGCAGATAGTGACCTGGCCAGGATTTGAACCATAGACCCCCAGTGCTACAAGGCAGAAGCACTAACCACCACAGCACTGTGCTCCCCTGTATTGTGTATGGAGTTAGCAGAAACTGTATAATGATTGAAACCACACAAGCTGCCAAAAATAAATACAGTGTGGCAGTAAAAAAATAAAATGTATTTAAATAAATGTAAAAAGTCTTCCTAAAGTCTGTGATAGGGTAACGAATATGACATAAACAGTATGTGATGTCATGGGATATTATGGTGATATAAACATATCATTTGGCTACCTTCAGAAAGGACTTTTTTTCATCTGAGAGCAAAATTGACGATATATGCACAGGGGATTTGTTTGCCCTCCACTGGACTACCTCAACCTAAATATGCAACAATTTGTAACAATGTACCTTGTCCAGCACACTTTTTCTATAAATTCTCTCATTGACATGTTATCCCATTCCTTGGCATGTGGTGCTTTCCATGGAGAATCAGCTGGAATCTGAAATGAAAAGCAATTATTGTTTAATATTCGGAAAGCAGTACATACCTACAAAAGATATTTATCATTTTGTTGGCATTATTAAACCATTATGATTTACACTGTAGGTAAAATATCAAGCAAAATAATTGCTGTAGTATGAAGTAAGTAATATGGGTTACTCCTACTGCACAATCATTTTGATGGTTAAGATGTGAAGAAGTTACATTTAAATCAATATTTGCAATTGTGTATATATGCCACCCATTTTTTGAGACAATTACAAATGTAGCTGATCACTGTTAGTGTATAAGTACTTAGCTGTCTACATGCTTTACAAGAGACCTGAAGTAACAGGCTGATGAAGAGCTAATTGGTTGGATTGTTGTAAAGATTGTCCGCATGGGTGGCAAAATTGACATTTTCTGGTTGTTTGTCATTAGTCATGGGCTCAACATGTGTCTGTCCTGTAAAAGATAGTAAAAGGAGGCAGGATATTATATACTGAGAAGATAAAACAGTCCATGGAATTGACCCAAGATTTACTGCTACAAGCTTTGCCCTGGAGGTTGGCAAATAATAAACCATTTGTCTGTGTTTCCTGGCATATTGAACCTGCTTAATAAAGCAATGAAATTTGCAATAACGTTAAAAGGCTACTATAAGTAAAAGCCATACTGGTTTTCCTAGTTAACAGTTCTATGGCTCCCCCTGTAATGAATCTAAAACCTCATCAAACCATATTCATATACTATAGCGCTTCTAGTTGTACTGCTGCTTATGGAAGTATACTGGGAATACTGCATAGTGTAGCTTTCAATGACCATATAATTACTGAAAATGACTATGAATAAATGTAATGGAGTCATCAATGATCATGCTTTTGGGAACTAGCGTATTTTTTTACTTATACCCTGGTTGTGCACCAGGACATCCATTGAGTTTGCATAAAGCTAACCTCACACACTAGAATCTTCTAATTTAAAGCCAACAAATAAAGATGCACACTGATTGCACTTTTCCTTGCATGATGGATGGTCTGCCTCTCATACCCTGAGAGGCAAAAGAGAGGCATACCTAATTTGTTTATATGCCTAATTGACACTGCTCTGATTCATTCCACAATGTTTGCAAATTCCTGATTAAGCTATAGAGCTCTGTAAACAAGATGCTTTTTCAACAGCAAACAGCTTTTTCAACAAAGAAAAGACAGGTAAACCTGTAAAAAGCACCCAAAAGCTACACATGCTGGCAAGAAAGTAAATATGAATAATCCATATGCTAAATGTCATATTTATCTGCCTAAAAATGAAATAAAAAATGTTACTTTTTTAGTCCTGATCAATAAATAAATAAAAATTAAATACGATACATTCCATTTCATTTTAATGTTATGCTCTCATAAGGACATTTTGTTTAAATATATTTTATTACAAGTGAGTAGACAAAAGTAATCCCAACTCTAAAATTGCCTTTGAGCAATACTCTATAACTACTAACAGGGCTATTCACAAAAGGGTGAAGAGTTTGGAGAAGGCAGGAGAAGTGAACAATCTAGGCCAAAATAGCTGAATTGGAAAAATTCTCCAATTCAGCTCACTTTCAAGTTCAGCTATGTTGACCTAGATTGTTCATTTCTCCTGCCTTCTCCAAACTCTTCACAATTTTGTGAATAGCCCTGTAAGTTTAATTTACTTTTTTGTTTTTTTGTCATTGAATATAATAACACTACAACCAGCTACATAGATACGCAGAAAAATAAAACATATACCTGAGTCCCCCACTGATCCATGGTTCTCATGAAATTGTTATAATCCAAGTAGACCAATGGGTTATATGCAGGTGGGAATGCTCCTTGAAATCTGTATGATTTACCCTGCAAAATAAAAGTAGTGATGAACACACATATAGGTAAGGTACAATTAGTCAAACGTAAAGTAAACCTAACAACAATTTAGAGCTAGATCCTGCCCATCCACGAACCTCTGTCAAATTGCTGCTTTATTAGGTGCTAAGGGGCTTTTATTGGATAGTGAGACTTTGGTTGGTAATGACTTTTGCTGGGTGAGGTTTTGTCCCAAAGTCAAAAATGTTTAACCTTCAGTAGCAAAGTAAAACCGGGATCAGAGGGGTACAAATAAAGAGAGGCGTACATAGAGAATTTAGCCCCCAAGTTTACATTTGTATAAGACATGAGGTTTTCTTTGAAAAGTTTAAAGAAGAACTCGAGGCATGTCCATGCTCGTTTAGGTCTAAGTTCTAAAATAAAAAAAGATATACTCACTTTATCCTTGGCCCCGCGGCTTTGACTGCTCACCTTTCTCCCCTCTGCTCCAGCTGCAAGTGAATGGATGTGACGCTGTCACAGGTCCTTAGACCACTGGAGCCCGGGAGAGAAGAGGTCTAGCAGCTGGCAAGGACAGAGGTTTTAGGTGAGTATATCTTTTTTATTTTAGACCTTAGACCGGAATGAGCACTTAACCCTTGCAGTGCAGGGTTATCCCCACTTTGTAATATGCCTGGAGTTCTTGTTTAAACTTGGTTCCATAACTGTCAAATATCCAGTTTGTAGGCCAGGAAGTTTTAACTTTATGGCTAAAATATTTCACATGTGGCAGTCTTACCTTTGAACGCTGGATAAGATGGCCATTTAAATACACCTTATAAGTCTGCACACCCAATTCTTTAGCCATTCGTAATAACCGATTCTGAGTTGGTCCCACATATGCACCTCCGACATCCACATATTGAACTTCCTTGTTCTATTAGATGGGAAAATTACACAATAAGCTTTTGACAGACAGCAATTATATATTATAATATGTAGTACTGTAAGTGGTTAATAGTCCAGTAAATGCTGCTGCACAGTCTTAATTTAGGTTATTTTATAGGATTATTCCCCCTGTGATTCCACTGTTTTGCCTTTCTTTGACATACGAATAACCATTGGTAAATGGCATGCTTATACCAGCAATAACACTTGTACACTTTCCTTTTGGTCCCTGCACTGTACATTTTATTATGGGGCCTATTCACAAAGCTGCCAAAGGATCTAGCCGTAGCTTTGGCTGATCCTTCGGCAAGCTTCGGGCCCAGGAACCCTTCGGTTCAGTAGAACCGAAGGGCTGCTCTATATTCACTATAGCCTGTACAGCTCCCAAAATTGGCCAAGCGGCTCAGCCGAGCCTAAGGCATATGCCTCGGCTCAACTGAACCGCGGTGAAAGCCGAAGCTGGCCGAACACTTTGGAATTGCTGGATATCTGCATAAATGGCTATAAAAATTTTGTATGATCTTCAACAAATTCACAGTTATAGACACAAATGTTATGTTTAAAAAAAAAAAAAATATACAAACAATTGAACTTCTTGACTTAAAGTGACACTAAACCTAACAAAAATGTATCTTATTTGTCCATCTCTCAGCTGTAGATTCTCAATTGTAGACTACAATGTCATGTTTAGTTAGCTCACAGGAGTTAGCTTAGAGCGGTGGTTACTTTACAACACACAGGGACCATGGGGAACAAAAGTAGCCACTCTAAAGAAGGAAGGACAGTGTCAGCACCAACTCAATGATGATGTAAAGGATCTATAGCCGAGTGATCCCAAAACAAGCTATATTTTTGTTAATAGTTAAGGTACTTGAATGCATTTTAAGGGTTAACTCCTGAGTTTATTGTCAGTTTAAGTGAACATATTGCTTTAACACTTGGAGTGCAAATTATGTGAACCTTAGTATTTGATGTCTCCTTCAGCAAAAATTATTGTTGTCATGTTTCATATAGCTGATCAGACTTTAGGCTCAGTTGTCAGGAAACGGTTAGGACCATTCCTCCTTCCAAAGCAATTTCGGTTTATTGATATTACTGGCAGTTGTTGAGGAATGCGAATTGTTGCATGGGACATTTTATTATGGGGCATTGAATGTCAAATAAACTATTATGTCACAGCACATATATTTATTTGCCGCATTTTTTTTTTATTTTCGCCCTCATCCTCTCGGTGCACTGCTGCAGTGCAACACCTCTATTGCCCGAAATGCTGACAAACTCAGTTTCTGAGCCATTGATTGTGAGTCTTTTTGTGCAAAAAGTGGGTAATATTAGTTGTTTTATAACATAATGTAAAAAAAAACTTTTTTGCATCTGTCTTTTTATACCCTTCAAATGTAACTATTATTGGGTGCTATTACTGCTGCCTTTTTATTTTTTAATTAGGGTTCTTCTCCATGTCTTTAATGTTTGCATGCTGAATGCTTGCTGTGATCCTTGAAGGAAGACCACTCTGGAGGAGAGCAGCTATTGTGCGGTATTTCAACTATTTGTATACAATCTGTATTGCTGTTGATTGAGGAACAATGCCTTATACATCTTTTCAATTCTCGCTGTTAAAAAGGTTGTTGTAATGTTTTTTGATCAGCACAGGGTTCACATTCATAGATCATTTATGAAAAGAGCAGATCTTTTTATGGATCATGGCACCTTCAAAGCACACCTCTAATCACATATCATTGACTGAAAGACTAACTGCCTTTTTTTTAATGTCATTATCATAAAGGTTCACATGTGTTTTCCAATATATTGGGTTGATTTGCTAAAGGAAAATAGACTGTTCACTTTGCAAGGGAATTCTTCCTCAGTGAATAAGGTGAAGCCCTGTTGACTACACCATCCAAACGTGTGCAAGCAAAAATACATTTATTTTGTTTTCCTTTCACATGATGGTATTCTTTGCAAAGTGAATTACATTCACTAAGCTAAGGGAAAATGCCCTTGCAAAGTGAACAGTCTATTTGCCTTTAGTATATCAAACCCAATGAGGCTGATTTACTACAGGAGTTGAGAATCATCACACAACAAACTAACTTCAATTATCCGATCATGTGAAAAGCAAATTCCTGTTTACTTATTTCATCTGCACAAGATTAGATAAATGAGTGAATGTTCACACAGTGAGATTTATGTACTTAAGGAAAATAGGTTACTAGCTTTTGCAAGGGAAGTATCCCTTAGCTTGTCAAATGTGTTGAATATTCATTTTGCAAAAAAATACCCAATCACAAGCAAGGAAAATGGAAAAAAACAAAACACATTTTGCTTGCATATAATTGGATGATGGAAGTAAGCCCAGCTCCACCTCATTTACTTTATTTAAGTGAAGGAAAAACTCCCTTGAAAACTGAAAACTATTTGCCTTTAGGAAATCAACCCTAGTTTATTGTGTGAAGATTCTCAGCTCCTTTAGTAAATCGGACAGTTGTTTAAAGCATTTGTTCAATACAGATGTGACAATGGAAAAGCCTGTCTGTGTTGCTGCTAAACAGAGCTGTCTATGTATTAAAATAATCTCAGTTATGATAAGGCCACATTTTAGCAGAAATCCCAGGAGTTCTAAAGGGTTTACAGATGTTTGCTTCCACCGCTATAATAACTACCCTTAATGGTATCTGTTGCCAAATGATGCAAGCACATGCAACAGTTAACTAATTTGATAAAACTCTTTTTCATTGAGCCTGTCAATGTCTGTGTTATAAGGAATGTATAGCAAATTTTTATTGAGCACATATTTTGAGTTATTATTGCAATGATTTTCTTAAAATAATTTAAGAATGAAGTTTACATTTTAGATGCTTGCCATTCTCTTGCCTGGATATGCTCCTAGCTAGGAGTTATAGTAAGAGCCTTCTAAAGAAAGCATATCAAAAAGCGATGAGGAGGACCAGATTACATTTATTATTTGACGTAGAACAGACAAAACTGAATGAAACTATCAAACAAATAACTAGATATTTAGGCCAACATTTTAGGGTAGGTAACATTTTACAAAAATATTAGTATTTACTCTCAAGGGATGTCTACATTAATAAAAGAGAATATAAAAAGGAATTCTCTGAAATTGTGTATAGATGATGTGTCTCAGTAAGGGATAAGATTGTGCAAAGAACTATGTTGGCTGTGACAGGGGCGATCCTTGGCAAAGAAAGGGAACGTTTAAAGGTGGGAAATGTACTCTGAATCAGAGAAGAAACCCATAGTATTTGACCCAAAACATTTTTTTCCCTTCCCAAGTGTTTTGTAAACCTTGACACTACTGGGGTCATATATTTAATGACCTGTGAATGTGGCATGTGACAAAAAGAGAATTTGTTGATAAATTTATTATCATTTATATTTCCTGTCTGTGTATTATGGCTATTAAGTTGGTACTAGCGGACCCGGGGAGGGATGGGAAATTCAATAATTCAATAGCTGGAAACAAGATGGATTCAGTACCAAAAGGCCACTTATGCCCCGGGTCTAACTGATGTCTTAAGTTTCAAATAATTTCTCTGATTCATGGTCACTGACAGTCTCTTACTGTAACAAAACTCTTTTATGATGGATATAGATAGACTAACGTGCTCCAGTTATTTTTGATATTAGAAAATGTAAAGTGTGATACTGCCAAGATGTATTGGCTGGTTAATACTATTGAAAGGCACTGTAAGGTTGCTGTACATATGGATTATTTAAGTCTAGGAGTCACTTTAGGGATGTGGACTAACATATAATTCGCTTCTTGCATGCAACCATGTCAAACAGTTAAAGTGACACTAAACTTAGGAGCTAAAACTTAAAAATGCTAACTAATAACAAAAATGTATCATATTTGTGCCTCACTCGGCTGTAGATCCTCAAATCATCTCTGAATTGGTGCAACACTATTCTTTCTTCTGAAGGGTGGCTACTTTTGTTCTCCATGGTCCCTGCGTGTGTTGTAAAGTTGCCACCACTCCAAGATGGCTCAAGTGATGGACTATAGTTTCAATATAAACTAGCTAACTAAATTTGAGATTGCAGTCCATCCTTGGAGTATGTTTGGAGCGGTGGCTACTTTAAAACACACATAGGGACCAAAAGTATCCAGTAGTGGATTTAAGGATATACAGCCAAGTGATACACAAATGAGGTACAGTTTTGTTCATAGGTAAGGTACTTGAATGCATTTTTAAGGTTTAACTCTTGAGATTAGTGTCACTTTAAGTGTAAACACATATTTATAATGTGTTAGTTTGCTCTGTTATATATATTATTTTAAGGCTAAAAGCTAAAAGTGGCTTTGTGGTTTCCACTGGTGAGCATATGGATGTATATTCACACCCTGTTCCTTCCCCCCACACAAACACACACTGATTGGCGCTACCTAGCTAGTGTTTGAGTGTTTTGTTTACATGGGGGTTGTTATTAGGGTTGGGCTCAATGTTCAAGCCGAATGTGAGTTCGACTTGAACATCGCTAGCTCGAGTGTTCGCCGAACACACGAACTATCAGGGCATATGGGTGGGCTGTTCGCCCGCTGAACACCCCGCAATGCACTGTGTGCATTGGAGAGCCCTGATTGCACAGGTCACAAGACTTTGCCCAATCAGGGCACAGAGAACTGTGAGAGCCATGATTGTAAACAGTTGGGCGGAGCTAGCTGTCACTGCTAGCTTTGCCCAATTGTTTATAAGTTGCCGGCATCTGTTAAAATGCTATTCTGCATTCGTCGCAGCGGACGGGACGGCGGTCGTCTTTTTTTTTTAATTTCTTTTTTTTATTTTGTCGAGTCGTTGTTGTCGTGGACAACCCTGGACGTCCTGATTGACCCTGGATTACGTTGATGGATCCATTTTTGTTTTTTAATAAAGGACTTTTTTTATTAAATAAAGGATTTTTGATGAAAGTCTGGACTTTTTATTTAAATTTGATTGAACCCTTTAGTGAATGGATAGGGGTACAAGCACCCCTTACTCATTCACAAGGGGGGGTGCATCTGGGTGCCCCTTTATTAAAGGGGTATGCTGATGTGAATATGCCTAAAAAAAATTATGGCGGACGGCAACTGGTTAAGCAATGTTAAAATCACTGCTCCTTTAAAAACTGTATTTTTTTAAAGTTTTTTTTTCCGGGCATTACCCGGATCCCCATATACCTTTTATGGCTTATAACTTGCATATAAGCCCTCTTAAAGGGAACAATTGTTTTTGAAAGTTCTACCCCCATAGACTAGCATTGAGTTCAAGTTTGAACATTTTGGATGTTCTAAAGTTTGAATTTGAACCGAACTCGGGCCTGTTCGGCCTATCACTAGTTGTTATGTCAGCAGGTCATGTGAGCATGATTGACTGGGATTATGTTTGTGACCCACCCGAGATTATTTATATGTTTGTAAAACTACGTAGTGTACTATGAATAAGCCTACGGATGAAACAAGTGAGAGGTTGTAGCTGGTTGGGGGTTTGCGGTGCTGGTATTTGCTGCTTTATACACTTTAATCCACTGTTATACTGGATTTTCTGTGAATTTCAATAAAGGCTGAAGTATTGGAATTCTCTGGATAGTGCGGTCTGTTCGTATACTACTACATTCCAAGGTGGAGACGCACCTATTAGACCAGTACCTGGGGAGTCCTGATTGGCTCTACGTAGAGTGCTACCTAAAAAATCTGCTTTACTTTATATATATATATTTATATTTGTATTCATATTTAACCCCCCGGAAATTATAAAATAAAGCACAACCAAAACATAAAATATCAGACATGACTATTTTACTTACTCGTATAGTGTGTGTTCGTCCACCAACTCTGTTCTGAGCTTCCAACACCACCACGTTAACTCCTGACTCTTTGAGCAGTTTAGCAGCAGAAAGCCCTAAATTAATAATTAGTATCAATTAACTACTAACATAAACTAAGAAATATTTAACTTACTTCAATACCTAAAGACTTAAAATACACTCTTTCTAAACTTTTGTATATCTTCTATGGCAGTGTTTCCCAACCTTTTTTTAGACATCCTTTAAAAGTATGCAAAATGGCACCAAAATGTCATAGATTTTAAAGGATACCCCACCCAAACAGACACAAAAAAGTGGGTTCCCCCTTCACATAGAAGTACCCCCATTCAAATCAAGATTTCTCCCCCCCCTTCACATCAGAGTCACCATTTGCATCAGTAGTCCCCTTTTACATGAGGAACCCCCTTTCATCTCCTTTCACATTAGAAGCCCCATTTTAATATCAGAATCTCCCTCTTTCACATAAGATTTCCCCTTTTACATCAGAAGCCCCCTCACATCAGTCTTCATTCCCCCCTTCATATCACAGTCCCACTACCACAACATTTTGAGGCACCCCTGAGAAGACCAGGAGGCACACCAGTGTGCTAGGGCACCCTGGTTGATCAAGGCTGTTCTATGGTATTTACAAATCTGAACAATGTGCGCAAAATTACCAGAATATTTGGTTTGCATGTACAAAGTAAAATTTTACCTTATAGTTTCCTCTCTACTTGTACCAATATTAGCGAAGAACAAAGACATATTATTCCACAAGGCTATGCAAATAGTTGAAATGTTATTGGGGTCATTATTTTTATTTCTTAAATCTCATAATTATACCTAGTTTACAATTAAAGTCTAATCTGCTATTAGATTGTAAACTCTCACGAGCAGGGCCCCCCTACCTCCTGTACTGAAACTGTATTGTTAATTGTTTGTATGTCTCCCTCAATTTTGTAAAGCGCTGCACAAACTGTTGGCGCTATATAAATCCTGTATAATAATAATAATAATCTCTTTTAATCTCTGTATAGTCTTGTGCCACCATGTTATGACATTTGTTAGAAGCGCTATAAAATATTGTATCCTATCTTTATTGCTGCTTTCTGGGCTGCTACTTCTGTACTCTGGGCACAATGGAACAATGGGCCCTGGTGCAAGATTTTTTTTGCCCCCCCCTTCCAGCTCTTACAATGCCTGTCCTGCCCACCTATAGCCGTTACCAATCTGCATTTCTGTATAGAGGACTACAACTCACAGCAATACTTTATACAGAAATGCAGAATGGTAACAGATATAGAGAACTACGATTCCCAGCAATACTCTCTACAGAAACACAGAATGGCAACGCATATAGAGGAAAGAAACGCAGAATGGTAACAGCTGTGGAGAACTACAACTCCCAGCAATACTCTCTACAGAAATGCAGAATAGTAACGGCTATAGGGGACTACAACTTTCAGCATTAGTCTCTACAGAAACGCAGAATGGTAACGGCTATAGGGGACTACAACTTCCAGCAATACTCTACAGAAACGCAGAATGGTAATGGCTATAGGGGACTACAACTTCCAGCAATGCTCTCTACAGAAACGCAGAATAATTCCATCAGATATAGAGGACTACAAAACATGTCACAGAATTTAGGCACATACAGAAGATGAAAACATCACCTCACCACCTCCTCCTCACGGCGGGAACATCATGTAGCTGAGAGAGGCGGCGGGCTGTGTAATCAGGAAGCTGATGGGTCCTCCCAGCCAAGGCCCCAGCGCTGCCTCACCGTGTGCTTGAAGGCTGCTCTGCCTCACTGCCGTGCGGCCGGATGGATGGACGGTCGGCGGATGGACGGGCCCCCACCATCTCTTTCCCTACCTTGCCACTGGTCTGGTGCCTGGGTCTGCTGGCCCCCACAGGCTCAGGCCTCCGGTTCCGCCCCTGCCTCACACGGTCAAGTGCATTAGGTCTCACTCTGGTGCCTATTGGAAAGCACAGTCCTAGACATCCTGCATAACTGTTGTAACATGAAAGTAGAGGGAAGACTATGAAAATGGATATTGTGAATACTGTATGATCACATATATATTTGTGTGACTTCAACTGCTCTTTAACAGTATGCTACCTGTGTGTAAATAACATTTTACATATCACCTTGGTATCTACAAAACTGAGGTTTATAGCATCTTCTGACTCATAAAGACAAATTAATAAGCCTTCAGAGAAAAGGTAGTTAAGCTGGGATCTTGCTCCCCCATATGGTTCCTGGATTCTGACTGATAGCTCACTTAGTAATGAAGAAAAGGAGGAAGTGTTCCCTTCTTAGCCATGTTCTCTTGCCCAGCATAATCTTAAAACAATAGATATAGAATAGAATAAAGACTACAGTGCTGATCCATTTTTATTACAGGACCAGTCCTAAAAAAAAACATCTGCTACTTGATGAGTGATCTCACATAGAAGCATCTGTTTCCTGCCCCTGCCTTGCATGTTCTGTGAACTAGTATCTGTAGCCAAATAAAAAAAGTTTAAAAATGTTGGAACCGGTTTAATAAGTTTGTACATATGGTATCTACCACCAACAGCAGATCACATTTTTTTTTATCAGCAATACTGTTGAACGTTATGCAAACACAAAACATATCCACTGTATTAATATCTTCTGAAATGTTAAAGCTTTTATTAAACCATTTATCAAAAAGATACTATTTAACTAAAAGTATTTGAAACAAGACTATAAACATGTGTTCCAAAATAATTTCCATTGCAACTGCCTACGTGACACAAAAAAAAGAATGTTTGCACAAAGTTTAATTCCATTATAGAAACTAACTTATTATTAGGCAGTTAGGATCATTGCCAGACATTATGCATTCCTAATATCAAGTGGTGGAAGCAATGTTTTATCCTATGTTTTACTTGCATGGCAAGGATGCTAATGAAGCTTTCCCAGGGCATGAAAAAAATGCAAGTAGGCATCTCTTTGTACTGTGTAGTACTTTGATACTCCATATAGAAAAAAAAAACACAAAGAAAGATCATTGTATTCAATATTTTTGAATGCATTATATAGCATTGTAGTATGCCAGCTGACACTTAGGGGTCTATTCACAAAACTGCCGTAGACAGCCGAGTGAATAACTGACCCGAAGTGGAGTGAGCCGAACGCTGTTCGACTATTCACTTCAGGCTTGTACGGCTGATTTCAGCCGTATATCGTCTGAAATCAGCAGTACATCGGGTGACTTTGCGTGGCTTCCGGTTGGCCGAACATGCTCAGCAGTGCAGAAGGAGTTTGACTCAGCCGATCCAACATCTGGATCGGCTGTGCCGTAACACCGGCAGGCTACTCGCTGCTGTTCGGCCTATTCTCATAGATGTCGAGAAGCAGTGAGTGAATAGCCGCTGAGCGGCATTCTGCTCGGCTATTCTGCTCGGTACCTCTGTGGTACCGAGCAGAATAGAAAAACAGTGAAAAAAGTAGAAAAAAAATAGAAAACTATTGAAATGATGGCAGATAGCAGAGGAAGCAATAGCTTCTTTGCTATCTGAAAGATTTTTTTTAGTATTCTTTTTTTTTTTTAGTATATTTTTTTAGTATTCTGCCAGCTGCTGCCATCAGAATAAAAAAAAAAAAAGTAGATTCCTATTGGCTATTTCAATTTGCAATATCCAATAGCAAGCTGGCTATTGCACCCGCCCTCTGCTGCTGTCAATCACTAGAAGGGAACATGATGGAGAACTTCAGGTCCCATCTGCTGATTGACAGCAGCCATGGGTGGGTGCAATAGCTAGTTTGCTGTTGGCTATTGCAAATTGAAATAGCTAATAGGAATCTAGCTGTGCATTCCTATGCTGTTTTTTTTTCTGACTGACAGCGCCGCCGGCTCCGATGTCAGAAGAAAAAAAAACAAACAACAGAGCAAGGAAAGGTTTACTCCCAGAGCGTCCGGGAGAGTAATGACACATCAACGTCCCTGGTTACCTGGAAACCAGGGACGCTAATCTGTCTCTGCAAGTCGCCGGAGCCAGCCGTGAGATGATGGCTGGCTCTGCCCAGATGTCAGTAGCAGGCTGTCGGCCGAAGCATATGCCTTTGGCTCGACTGAGCCGCTCGGCCAACTTTGGGAGCTGTACGGGCTATAGTGAACCGATGGGGTCCTGGGGCCGAAGCTAGCCGAAGGATCAGCCGAAGCTACGGCTAGATCCTTCGGCAGCTTTGTGAATAGACCCCGTAGACTTGTGTCCATGCCAGTCAAGACACAGACTTGGTGCTTGGGAGCACTGCCATGAAAACACAAAGAGGAGTAGTGCCCCTTACAAGGCTTCTTATACTGAGGAAAGGGGTCACAGAGTCCTGCACAAACAAATGTTTTTATCACAGAAATAACTTTCTTTTGTTACTATACAGTTGCATTTATAGGACACAGTTTATTTAGAACTTGTAAACTTGTGCCCTGGTCTCATAAAGCTTCACATCCTTAAATTGATCTCTCTTACCACATTTGCTGCTCTCGCTCTTTGTTAAATGACTGCTGGCTGGGACACTGCATATGCTTTGGCGATTTCTTAATCCTGACCTTCCAATGCCCACTTATGAGAGTGATGGGCTTCAGGTTCACCGAGTTAACACACATACACCCTTCATGATTGCAATATCTCTTTTACTGCTGTTAATGCATGCCACATTTTTATCACACAAACTTACCCACTACATTACCTCTTTTTTGACAACTAACACTTTCACTGCCACAACTTAAAGCCGAACTCTGGGCACAAAAAGGTTTCATTTTTATATATTCCTTTATAGCCACAAAGAATATAAATCCACTTTGTGTGGACCAACTGCATTTGCAGTCCCAGTTAATAGTTTTGTAAAATAGCAATTACATCATCACTGTGCTGTACATAGCCTCTGAAGAGAGCAGAGCTGTGGGAAGGACTCAGCAGGCCCCACCCACAACAGGCTGTCTGCAGAAAACTACAGGAGGGGGCAGAGACTAGAGCACAAGAAGATTAGCAGCAGTGACTGGTCTTTATTACATAAAGCTCCTGCTAAGAGACAGCTTCAGGCAGGATTACTGCACAGATCTCT